TGGCGACGAGGGTTGACAGTTGAAGTGGCTCGTGCAATGTGATGCGCGCAGTAAATTTCGACAGGCGGTGGGAAAACACAGAGATGGGGGGGGGGTCTGAAAGTGTTCATACACAGTCACATGAAAACAGTCAGTGAGGAAGAGGAAGATGGTTGTTATAATGAATGTGTGAATTAAACGTGACACGCGTGTAAATATATATATATATATGTTCGGGTGCTTGACTCAGCTGCAGAAAGACGCACAGAGAGGAGAACCAGGAGGCTCCGCTGCTGCATTTAACGCAGATAAAACCAAAGATTTAAAGTGTGAATGAGCGACTCTGACGACGCTGCCGTCTGTGTTTTTGTATTTGTGAGTTTGTATCTTACATGTGGCGCTGCTCTGGGACGCTGCTGTGCTCGACTAAGAATAGCATCCTTGCTGGTCCTTTAGCCTGCAGTCACTGTCTGAATACCAAGTCAACACAACATGACACACACACACACACACACTCCACTACACACTGCTGGTACCTGTGCTATTTGTAGCCCACCTTTTTTACTGTACTCTGAGTGGACCTGTGTGTTCGCCTTGTCTCTCTCTCTCTCTCTCTCGGTGCATCGAGACAAATCATTTCGTTTCTTCTGTCTGTGAGTCTGTGTGTCAGGAGTGATGATGGCTCAGGTGCCGAAATGTCCCGAAGCCACATGGATATTTTAAATCCTGTGGACACTGCAGTTGCTCTGTGTGTGTGTGTGTGTGTGTGTGTGTGTGTGTGTGTGTGTGTGTGTGTGTGTGTGTGTGTTTGTTAACATTGTCTCTTTTTTACTTGAAATTAGAAACACAAATGATCAGGTGAAGGTGCATCGTGAAGCAGCGCTACGTGCGTTACTGTCCTGTCAAGTTACATAAGAATAACACAAGGAGTGAAACGCATTCACATCCAAAGCTAAACGGCCATGAGTCAGGACAGTGAGCCTCAGTGACAGCTGATGTGTCTCTTGCATGTGCACGGGAGAATAAAAGCAGAAATCAAACATTTAGACGAACATAAATTTACAAAACAAATGCAAATAAAAGATGAAGATAAAATCTTGAAATGATGAAGAAAGGCGGCAAAATGAATTTAAAACTTCAACAATACAGGAAAGCTGTTACTCTTATATCTCGTCTCGTTGATCCAGGTTTGAACAGTTTTTTAACAAAAGAGAATCTGCAAAAGAAAATTGTGAGTTGATGCACGTTTTTTGATCTGCTGCTGTTAATGTGAATATTAAGAGTTGGATTAACAGCTGTTAACTCTCCAGTCTGAGCCATTAAACCATCACAGAGGCGCGAGCAACGAGACGACGTCATTATAAAAACTCGATAAACTCGAGACAAACTTCAAAACAAATGTAAGAAACACCATGAAAATCTGACATTTCTGTTTCTCCTCACTGCTCCGATGTTTTTGTCTCTTGATCACATGATCATTTATTCTCTAAATCTGTGTCCGTCTCACGTTATTACTTTTATTCCCCCTCCGCCGTTTTTTTTTTTTTTGCAATAAAATTCTGGTTTATTTTTTTTAATTTTCAGCATTTCTGCAGAAGAATTCACATGAAATGACACGAGCAGGAAACCGATCATTTAAACTTGGACAAAAAAGTGGCCGGGATGTTATAGAATCCATAAAATCATGATGATAACACCAACAAAGCTCAATAGCACAGCTGAGTGGGTTTGTTCGGCTCCAGGACGTCAGGTTCTGGGTCCTGCAGGTCTCTTCATGTCGAAGGTGAAGCTGAGTCTCAGACTCTGACAGCTGGCTGCGAACTGCAGCTCTCATATCTGTGTCTGTGCAGGCCAGACAGATGAACTGATTTCTGTGACTGGACGCAGCGAAGCTGGGTGCAGGGCAAGGCTTAAAGCTCTCTCCCTCTGTCTGTCTGTCTGTCTGTCTGTCTGTCTGTCTCTCTCTCTCTCTCTTTCTTTCTCATTGTTATGTTATCCTCTAGCTTAAAGCAGGCTTGTGGCTGGGGAAGCCGCATTATCAATGCAAGAAGCTGTACAAGCCTTGATGGTTATGTAAACCCCCCCCAACACACACACACACACACACACACACACACACACACACACACACACACACACAAGCCCTTAAGCCTCTCTCTGGTCCATAGCCGACACACGCTAGCAAGTGTCTCTCACCCGCTTATCGTTACATCATTACTATACAGGCCTACTTTTCTCCCCGTGGCAGCGTCACGGCGGAGGAGTGTACCGTCACATGTGATAATGTAAAGATGCAGCAGGACACTGTGGTTTCACTTTAATAACAAAAACTACTAAAATATAAAAAAATATCCTGGTCAGCTGATGGAAAGACCGAGACGCTGTCAACTTTCTGTCAAAGTTTAAAGTCAAGTAAACGTGTCGTTCATCTTTCCTTTCTGTTTAAAAATACATCAATGTCATATTTAGATCAGTGCAGGTGAAATGTGGAAAGAGTGATAGTTGTTTATCCTCTGCAGTGAAGTGGGTCTGTTTTTTTTTAGAGCAAATATTACATAATGTTTTTCTAATGTTACTAATTCTGTCTGTGCTTATTTATTATTAGACTGTCAGACTGTGAAACGTGTGAGACATCAGGGCTGCAACTCAAGATCGTTTTCGTTATCACTTTACCTGTGTTTACCTGTCCGTTATTTTCTCACTTAATAGTGAAAAATGTTTCTAATAATTTCCCAGAGTCGAGGTGACGACTTCTGATCATGTGTGACAGAGAAAAAGCATCAAATCCTCATATTTGAGAAGCTGGAAACAGCAAATAAAAAACAGCAAATGAGCAAAAAAGATTATTTAATTACCAAAATAACTGCATCAACTAATCAATTAACAGACTAATAACTGCAGCTTTAGTTCTCTATAAGCCTCCTCCACGCTCCCTAAAATAAATATGTCATATAATCAGATCACTGTAGTTTTAATTTTCCAGTTTAGTTAAAATATTTTAAGCATTATACTTAAAAACATTACTTACTTATATACTTAGTGTAAAATCACCTGAAACTAAGAGATGTGTTTTCATGAACTCGTATACTCAGTCTAAAGTCAGTTACAGTAACCTGGTGAATCCATCTCTCCAGGTTTCCTCTTATTTATCTCAGCCTCAGTCCTCCTCGCCTGTGATTGGCTAGTTTAGCGACATGTGACTTAGAAACTGGAAGTGTTGTTGTTTGTGAAGCGGATGAAGTTTGGAGAAGCTTGGACAGTTAATCCGTCTCCATCCGGCTGTTTCTTTTATCCAGAGAGATCCGAACCACCACATAGAGCAGAAAAACACGCTGTTCATTGTAATCACTTCCTCACAATTTACTCCGGTGTCTTGGGTTTTAGAGAGACTAACCTCCAAACTCTTTGTATGTGGACGACAGGCTTCACTTTCACTGCGATCCGTGCAGCCGTCAGAGTTAATGAATTCTCAAAACAAATGAAACACGGTTGAAATCGGTCGAAAACACGAGTCTGGATGAGAAAAACTGTTTTGCTTCTGCTGCGGGAATGTGTTCATGCATAAACACATGGAAATCAAGTGTGTGTGTGTGTGTGTGTGTGTGTGTGTGTGTTGTACTGTATGTACTGTCTGAATTATGCATACCCTGATTAAAATGTCCCAGTAACCCTGAACAGGAGAGGCGGTTACAGGAAGTGGGTGTATGTACGATTGAAAATATAAATATTGCAGCAGGTGATATTAATTATTTGTGTTTTGTTTTTTAAGAAATCATTAAAAAAAAAACCAATAAAACAGTAAATTCAGCATCATATGAAAAGTTTGAAATCACTGATCTGTCATTGACAGTAACTTGACGTTTGTGATCTTGTTCCTGTGTTTTCATCTTATTGAAGCTCAAATATAAAACACTTCTGAACTCTGCGTCCTGAGATCCGTCCTCTGTCTCGCAGACATAAATTTAGAAATCTTTCATCTCCTCTCTGTGCTATTTTCAGTTACAATTCTTCCAGAGAAGAAGTCGGTGATCTTACGTCGTCTCTGACCCTCGACTCTCAGATTCTCTCGCCGCTTTTTGTCGCAGCACCTTACGTAAGAAGTAGAGCACACCGTGTGCATGAATTCTTCTACCTTGAAATGTCAGAAGAGTAAAAACCAAACCGACCGGAGACTTGTCAGACCCGCTTATGTACAGTAAGTCACTTAATTAGATCATTGATGTTGCTGTGGCGACGCTGGGGGGGGGTCTAATGTGCTGTGACACGGTGGCTCGTCGCTGTTGATGTGTTTTGACAGAGTGGCAGGACTCGGTGCTGTGAAAGACAGGCTGGTCATCGAGGTTATAACCCGGAGGCGACATGGCGCTCGTGGATGACACGACCCATTTCATAGAGCTGCAGGGACGATCCTGAACGCACCTCTGCAAATACACACATTTTTATTTATACACATTTCTTTTCTTTCATCGAAAGCCTTGTTCCAGGTCAGTGTGTTCACCGACCTGCAGAGTCTTTACGTTTCCTGAGCAGTGAAGGATCTGGCCACGTGCTCATTTCTTTGATGCTTTTCATGCAACAACCTGTAAAACTAAATAAAGTTAAAAAGTGTCCTGAAAGTTCAGGTTCTGTCTGTGAACACCTTCAATAACTAAACCCCAAAGTTACCAAAGTTTTGATCTGCACAGACAAATCTGCAAAGATAAAGTAACTGTAGAAACCAGTGGAGTAATGGAGCGTCATATGGAGATCAGAGCATCATGTTGTTTCTGCAGCTCAGCTCAGGTCGGAAGTTGATGCTCCTGTGAGTCGGTGTTTGTGGCTTCCAGATGATCTCGGTGTTAACGTTTGGTGATGCAGATGTTTAAGTGTCTGCTGATGAGATGAAACTTGACAGATGTGGCTCAGGATCTACATCAGAGTGTGTTTACAGTGTACGACATCCTGTATGAAGTGACCTCTGACCTGAGCAAATAAAATGAAATCCACCTCTGATTATTTTCTCTGTGTTTTCTCGAACGCAGCACTACTTCCTGGTCATCTTCGGCCACGAGGGACAGAAACCCCTGGAGCTGCGGACGGAGGAGGAGTCAGACTGTAACGAGTGGGTGGAGTGTATCACGCAGGCCAGGTGAGATTTCACTGCTGCTTTTCTGGAGCACATCCTCTCAAATACTGCACTTAAACACAGGTGTGAGGTACTACTCTTTTATCCAGCAGCTGCAGTTGCTACAGATTAAGATTTTACATTAAAAACAACAACATATGGATAAAATCTAAAACACATTAAATTGAAAAGATTAATTCACTGTCTGTGTGTGACCCTCAGCTACATCAGTATCTAATGATGATGTCATGACCTCTTTTACTTTTGTCACTTTAAGGATATTTTACTGATGGTGTTTGCTGCAGTTTTATTGCAGTATTTTGGAAGAGGGACTTTTACTTTGTAGTAAAGACTTTTCCACATTGTGATAATTGTGCTTTTACTTCAGCAAAGGATCTGACTAGTTGTTAATTTCATCTCTGTTAATACACCCCAGTTGCTTTTCATGCATTAAGCTCTTTAAGTTTCCCACATAACAAACAGCAATTTTGTGCTTTTATTCTGAAATTTAAGCTGGTTGTTTAAAAATAACTCCTCTACTTTCTGCTTTTGCACATTTGATACAACTGCTGGGAGTGTGTGTGATGTGTGTGTGTGTGTGTGTGTGTGTGTGTGTGTGTGTGTGTGTGTGTGTGTGTGTGTGTGTGTGTACGTGGATGTGTTCTGCTCGCAGCGGTTCACATTTAGGTCACACTGGTGCTGTATTGCTACACTGATTACATCACAGACTTGATCTCGCCACTCGACCTCTGTTACTCTCGGCTCTCTCCCCTCTCGGGCTCTTTCCTATTTTTATCTTCAGATTCAGTGAAAAAAAAAGATGATGCACCTCAAACCGCCTGTTTGTTTTTGCACCGCCACACGTTCCTGTACGTCCGCGTCATGTGAGGTTGTTGCCTTTCAGTTCGTATCTAACGTGAACTGTCAGATGAAGTTCAGTGTGCACGTTAAATCACATCCCTCGCCCACATGTCTTCAGCCGCCGTGCCTGTCTCTCTCCCATGCTGCCTTTAGTTACTCTGACATCATCATCGAGCGTGAGATCCTGATGCAGAAGTACATCCACCTGGTCCAGATCATGGAGACCGAGAAGATCGCGGCCAATCAGCTTCGCACTCAGCTGGAGGACCAGGACACTGAGATTGAGAGGCTGAAAGCCGAGGTATGCATGAGTGCGTCCACATCTGCGTGCGCATGCATACATAAATCCACCTACTGCATGTGCACAGACACTCAGCGGCACTCTCAGATCAAAGCATGCAAATGACATCTGGCATGATGGGAAAACACTGGAGTTTAGAGCCCGTGTTTGTCTTAAATGAAAGCGCAGCGGGGCTCCAGCCACTCCACGACTCTTACTTCCTTATCATGCGATGAGATATTTGTTGTTTTCAGCCTCTAAAGTGATGTCATGAATATTTTACTTCACTCTGTGCCGGTGTGTGTTCACATGGAGACTGTTGTTGTGCCAGATTGTGGTGCTGAACAAAGCCAAGGAAAGGATGCAGCCTCACCAGAACAACCAAGAGGAGGAAGACCCCGATATTAAAAAGATCAAAAAGGTCAGTTATTGATGTCACGTAAAAAATAATAATAAGTAGAGAAACAAAATAAAAAAAACAGTGAGAGACGAGGAGTTTCTCTGTGGCTGTGCAGGTGCAAAGTTTCATGCGCGGCTGGCTGTGCCGAAGGAAGTGGAAGATCATTGTGCAGGATTACATCTGTTCCCCCCACGCCGAGAGCATGAGGAAGAGGAACCAGATCGTCTTCAACATGGTGGAGGCCGAAACCGAGTACGTCCACCAGCTGTCCATCCTGGTCAACTGCTTCCTCAGGCCGCTGCGCATGGCCGCCAGCTCCAAGAAACCTCCCATCAGCCACGACGACGTCAGCAGCATCTTCCTCAACAGGTGCAGTGGGCTCTTCACTTTTATTTTGAAAATATTTCATCATGTTTCAGAGTGATTTAAAACCAGTTCTTCCTGTTTAGTGAGACCATCATGTTCCTGCACGAGATCTTCCACCAGGGTCTGAAGGCCCGGATCGCCAACTGGCCCACACTGGTCCTGGGTGAGTGGTTATAGATCACATTTATATTTTTTTATTTTTATTTTTATTTTTATTTTTATTTTTATTTTTATTTTTATTTATAATATATTTATTTATGTTTATATTATATTTATATTTATATTTATTTATATTTATTTATATTAATATTTATATTTATTTTTATTTTTATTTATTTATATTTATATTTATTTATATTTAAATTTATTTATGTTTATATTTATTTATATTTATATTTATATTTATATTTATATTTATATTTATATTTATATTTATTTATAGCACCATTCAGACTCGAGGCAATTCAAAGTGCTTTACAGAAGCATGGAAATACATTAAAAAGAGAACATTAAGATGCATTTAAAAGCAATAAAGACAAATTTGAATAAATAAAAACAAAAATATTTAAATAATTTGTATCAAGATTGAGTAAAATCATGTAGGAAAGGGAGGTAGTGACATGTTTTAGTCCATTTAATTACAATTTGCATGTGTATTATGTTACTGCAAAATTTTAGATTGATATCAGCAGTAAGAACTATTTGAAAAAGCACATTTCACATGTTTATCACATGTTTCCTGCACATGTGAAAACTATTTTATTTATAATATAATAAATGTGATTTTTCTGATTTAACACGACGCAGAAAAAGTCAAATTCCCGTCAGCACCTGCATCGATGTTCGATGATTTTGACTTTTTATTTTGCATAATTTCTTCCTCCTACTCACCTGTTTATCAGGTGTGTGTGAGACACTTTCATATGTGAGAATATTCCCATAAAGGAGGCACAACTTTCTTACTGTGATGTCGTGTTTTCTGTTCGGCCCCACAGCCGACCTGTTCGACATCCTGCTGCCCATGCTGAACATCTACCAGGAGTTTGTGCGTAACCACCAGTACAGTCTGCAGGTCCTGGCCAACTGCAAGCAGAACAGAGACTTCGACAAGCTGCTCAAACAGTACGAGTCCAACGCGGCGTGTGAGGGCCGGATGCTGGAGACGTTCCTCACGTACCCCATGTTCCAGGTAGAACGCACTGCAGTTAGTTTCTCAGTAAATTCCTTTTGTTTTCCTCTTCTTATGGAGGGATGTGTTTATTATAATTCAGGTGTTATTCACCTTCTGCAACAGTTGAGTACAAGCTGCTTAAAAAGTACCAAACTACAGTACTTGAGTAAATAAAGAATACTAATAATACTCACTTTCCACCAATGTAAAGTAAAATTTTAAGAAATTATCAGTTAATTGTGAAAATAAAATACAAAAATGGGCCGAAACAACTGCCCTGAGGCACTCCACATCTTGAAAGAACATCATCACAACCTTATTCATGAAATATATTCAGACACGTTTCCTGCTAATCTGTGTGTGATATGTGTGTGTGTGTGTGTGTGTGTGTGTGTGTGTGTGTGTGTGTGTGTGTGTGTGTGTGTCTCAATGTGTTTTGTCTGCGTCTCAGATCCCACGTTACATCATCACCCTCCACGAGCTGCTGGCTCACACACCTCACGAACATGTGGAGCGCAAAAGTCTGGAGTTCGCCAAATCCAAACTGGAGGAGCTGTCCAAGTGAGTGTGAGCACATGTCACAGATATATGACGGGATGGACGGTGACAGTGGTGATGATGATGATGATGATGATTGGTCGTGTTGTCAGGATGATGCATGATGAAGTGAGCGACACAGAGAACATCAGGAAGAATCTGGCCATAGAGAGGATGATCGTAGAGGGATGTGACATCCTGTTAGACACCAGCCAGACCTTCGTCAGACAAGGTGAGACTCCTCCTCCTCCTCCTCCTCCTCCTCCTCCACAACACATCACTTTGTCCCAGACCTCCATCACTTCTCTCTCTCTCCCTCTCTCTCTCTATCTCTCTGCGGGGGCCAGGCTCTCTCATCCAGCTGCCGTCCAGCAGCGAGCGGGGCGTGCTCAGTAAGGTCCGCCTGGGCTCCCTCTCTCTGAGGAAGGAGGGGGAGAGGCAGTGCTTCCTGTTCACCAAGCACTTCCTCATCTGTACCAGAACATCTGGAGGGAAGCTTCACCTGCTCAAGGTCGGCCTCACCTGTCTGCAGATGTTCACGACCCTGATCTGGAAAATAAAAACCAACAAAAACAAGTTTTATAGATCAGTTAAAATGTCGGTTTTGTTGTTTCTCCATCATTTAAGATTAATTTACATAATTGTTAATTGATTTATAGACAGTTAGTGGAAATTAATATATAAAGATGTATTTAAGGTTAATAATACAGGTTTTCCTACAGCACATCACTTCAATTAATGTTCGTTATGTTTCGGATTTTATAGGCTGCATTTTTATTTATTTCCTATCACAAATATGATATATTGATGTCGAATATTTGTATGTTTTATAGTTGGTCCAGTGACGTTTGCTGTCAGAAAAACAAAATTTTAAATTCTAAAATATTAATTTCAGTATCTCTGTATAGTTTGGGTTCAGTTACTGATTATTGCAGAAGTATTGATCGGTTTCTAAGTGATCACTGACACTGAAACTATTGGCAGACACTGTAATTTACAGATGTCCCCTAAACGCCTCACTTGCAGACACACAGTAGATGCTAGCTCCTGCACATCATCATCAGGGGCCCCGAGCATTTGGCTAGTTTACCTCTCCTGACCTCTGCACATAGAGCAATGCATGTTGGGTAAAGAAGTCATCAAACAATACAAAGTTGAAGCGACTTCTCAGTGAGTTTCAGTGATTAGTCGATTAATCGATCAGTCAACTGACAGAAAATGACAACAATCAATCATTAAAGTCGTTTTTAAGCATAAATACGAAACACTTCCTGGTTTGAGTTTCTACAGTATGAGAATCTGGTGACTTAAGAACATAATTTAAACAGTGACCTCGTCCTCTCAGGTGTTAAATCTCACCTGTTCTTTATTTTTCATCCCCAACAGCAAGGAGGGACGCTGTCTCTGATCGAGTGCACGCTGATCGAAGAGCTGGACGCCAGCGACGAGGACTGTGAGTGTCTTTACACTGAGTCACGTCCGGTCCGGTCTCAGTTTACCTGTGCTGTGTGGTAGTTTACCTGTGTTTGTGTTCGTAGACAACGCCGCGGGTCAAGGCTTCAACCACCTGGAGTTTAAAATCGTGGTGGAGCCTCCTGACGGTCAGTCCTTCTCCGTCGTCCTCTTGGCTCCTTCCCGCCAGGAGAAGGCAGCGTGGACCAGCGACATCAGCCAGGTGAGACTGTGGTTGTGTTACAGCTGCTGGATCCGAGGCTCAGGGTGAAGATGGATTTAAACTGTGGGATTAAAGAGAAGGGACTGAAGTCTCATGTGTCTGTGTCTCAGTGCATCGATAACATCCGGTGTAACGGCCTGATGACCAGCGTGTTCGAGGAGAACTCCAAAGTTTCTGTGCCGCACATGATCAAGTAAGAAAAGAGGATTTCTCCTAATCTTACATTATATTTATATTATATGTTAGATTTTTATCAATATATAGAAAAGGAAGATTTCAAACTGCAGCAGCGAGGTTACGTAATCTGATCATCTTTATCTATCTCGAATCATACAATTAAAACATAGTGTGTATGGATGGCATCTTTACCCAACATGCATTGCACCATGTGTCAGTGATCACTTAGAATCCAATCAATACTTCTGCAATAATCAGTAACTGAACCCAAATCCATACTGGGATTTTGAGGCCGTTACTGAAATGAATATTTTAGAGTTTAAAAACTTTGATAATGAGTTTGATTATAAAAGACAATTAAACATTTCTGACAGGAAACGTCACTGAACTGTAAAATAACAAACAAATATTCAACAAAAATACATTTATATTTGTAATAAAAAATAAAAATGCAGCCTATAAAATATGAGCTATAATGAACATTAATTGAAGTTGCGTTTGCTGCAGAATAACCTGTATTATTGATGTTAAATACGTCTTAATATATTGATTTATCTTTTATTAACTGGAATCTCTTAGTTTCTGTCCGTGTGACGCTACAAGAATTTATTTATTATTTTTTATTCCATGAAAAGACGAAAAACAATAAATCCACAGTCTGTGTATAAAAGTCTGGTGTGTGTTATTGCTCTGGACCACAGAGCTCCAACAAATGATTAAAAACATGACTGAACACACACACACACACACACCGTCCTGCTGCAACAAATACAGAGGCAAACGTGGATCAATCCGCCGCTGAAAATAGTCCCCAACAAACATTTGATAAAAACTACAGTGATCAGCGTTTTTTTAAAATCAAACTATAGATTTTGTGACGTGTTTTTAAAGGAGGAAGTGATTTGGTCTTTTCATGTGATTTGTCAACAACAATAAACCAACTCGTGGTGTTTTCCTCCTGGAGGTCGGACGCCCGGCTGCACAAAGACGACGTCGACATCTGCTTCAGCAAGACGCTCAACTCCTGCAAGGTGCCACAGATCCGATACGCCAGCGTGGAGCGTCTGCTGGAGCGACTGACGGACCTGCGCTTCCTCTCCATTGACTTCCTCAACACCTTCCTCCACACCTACAGGATCTTCACCACCGCCGCCGTGGTCATCGACAAGCTGGCCGACATCTACAAGAAGCCGTTCACCTCCATCCCCGTCAGGTACGCGCCGCAGTCGTCCTCGTTGTCCCTCCTCCTTCCTCTCATACGTCGTATCATTCACTCCATCTTTTCATTTCTACATTTTCTCCTCCTACACATCTGCCACACTCCTCCCCCTCCTCCTCCTCCTCCTCCTCCTCCTCCTCTTCCTCTCACTGTCCCAGGATCGAGCAACATTCATGTGACCGTCTGTCCATCATGTCCCTGTGTCCTGACTACAGTCTGAAGATCACTCAGCTGGCTCTGGACCAGTCCAAGTAAAAACCATCAGCAGGACCTGATTCTCCAACATGTGTCAGAGCCTGAGCTGTGGATTAACTCTTCTTCTTCTTCTTCTTCTTCTTCTTCTTCTTCTGCTTCTTCTTCTTCTTCTTCTTCTTCTTCTTCTGCTTCTGCTTCTTCTGCTTCCTTCTACTCCTCCTCCTCAGGTCTCTGGAGCTCTTCTTCGCCACCAACCAGGGCGCGTGGGCGACGGACCCCTTGAACAACAAATCCCCGAGACTCTGCCGCAAGTTCTCCTCTCCCCCTCCCCTCTCCATCCCCTCCCGCACCTCCTCCCCCGTCCACTGCCGCAAACTCTCCCTCAGTTCCCCTATCAGTGCGAAAGCAGGAGCCTTGGACCTGTCCACCACCCCCTCCTCCTCTGCGGCCAACTCCCCCACCTCCAGCCACAGCCCCTCCATCTCCTCTCCTCCCCCCGGCTCGACCAGGCCGCCCTCCGGCTTTTCCTCCCCTCCGCCCACCGCCACGCGCTCTCCCAGCCTCCCCCAGGCCTCTGGGGTGTCCTCGCCGCCCCCCATCTCCACCAAGGCCCCGCTGGACCTCAGCCGCGGTCCCAGCTCCCCAGAGCTGAGCCCAGCTGCAGCGGAGGACGTCAGCGGCGAGCTGCCGCGCATCGACGCCTTCTGTGGGAAGCTGAGGCGAAGCATCCGCAGGGGTACGTAGCTGGAGCACAGACGCATGTGATTCACACTCTGTCAGTCCCGTATGAACATCAGCACACACACACACACACACACACACACACTGATGTTCTGTGATGAAGTTGTGGTTTAAAAACAGGGTTAAATATCTCGTCTGTCTTCTGAACGTCAGTGACTCAAACTGCTGCTGCATCATTGTTTTATCTCTGTACTTGAGTCCGACGCGTCGCTCGGCCCAAACACACACAGAACTGGGTCACTGTGACCCGACGGAGGAATAACGGTGCTCTCAGATTCACCATCTGGCTTCAGCTGAGAGTCTGTTCGCTGTGAAAACAGCAGCGGAGCACGAGGTCAGAAAATCTCTGACAACAAACTGCAGAGGAGGGAAATGAAGAGATGAACAGAGCGACGACAGCAGGTCACATGAGCGTCACACTGTCACCTGAACATTTAAACGTCACACTGTTGATTATTTTCATCCAGACTCCTGATAATTAAATAGAAGCAAGAGATCGGAATAAATTATATTCAGACATAAGTTTGTAGTTTCCTGCTGTTGGGTCTTTACACGACGGGAGGGGATTTAATGAAACAACATTTATGTACAGACTCTAGTATTTAGTTCTGATGATGTTGTTTTTGTTCTTCATGATTCTGTCTGGATTTAAAGAGAGTGAATCTATATTTATGGATCTGGGATTTCCATCAGTTCTGGATCGAGTCACAAACATAAAACAGCTGCTCTGATGTTTCTGCTGAGGCGAAACTACGACGGTGCGTCGCTTTAAATGTTGCTGCAGCAAGGGATTGTGGGACGGTATTTTCTCTTTTTCTTTTCGTAAAGGAAGCTGCGGTGTTTCCTCTGCTGGAGGAGGTCAGGTAGGAGGCACTGAAGCTCCTCCCCTCGGCCCCGATCGTGATCAGACGCTTCAGCTCGTTTCACTCAGTTTGAACCTTCCTGAGAAAAAAAGACACCAACACAAAGCAGACGCACTGCATGTTGGGTAAAGCGGCCGTCCACAAAGCAGAAACTCCTTCTGTGTTGGTTATAAAATTGATTGATTGTCTTATTACATCGTGTGTGTGTGTGTGTGTGTGTGTGTGTGTCCATGGTGTATTATCCTGATCAATACAGATGTTGCACTGTTTCTCTAACAGCTGTTTTAGAGTCAGTGTCTCTGGATAAGTTCCTCCCTGAATCACCTGCCAGCAGCGAGCCGAGCGACATGTCGCCCTGTCGCTCGCCTTCGACACCGCGGCATCTACGCTACCGACAGTCAGGAGGTAACACACACACACACACACACACACACACACACACACACACACACACACACACACACAGAGAGAGCAGGCATGTGCTGCTGCTGCTTGTCTGNTGGGAGGGGAGGGGGGGGTGGGGGGGGGTAGGGTGCTGTGTGGGAAGGTGTTTTCTAATCTTTACATTTCTTTCCTCCCAGGTTTCAGTAATTCTGAAAAAACCTGTGACAAAGAGTTCATCATCCGCAGAGCTGCGACCAACAGAGTCCTCAACGTGCTGCGACACTGGGTCTCCAAACACTCCCAGGTGAGTCCACAGGCGTGTGAGGTCAGGTGTCAGAGTGATGTCATCAGAGAGGGACGGGAGAAAACAACCCAGACCGACTGAGAGCTGATGAGAAAGTTGTGTCTGTTTCCATCGTGTGTGTGTGTGTGTGTGTGTGTGTGTGTGTGTGTGTGTGTG